GATGCTTTTGAATTGTGGTGCTGGAGGAGACTCTTGAGAGTCCCCTGTATTGCAAGGAGAACAAACCTATCCATTCTAAAGGAAATCAACCCTGAGTGCTCACTGGAAGGACAGATCCTGAAGGTGAGGCTCCAATACTTTGGCCATCTCATGAGAAGTGAAGACTCCCTGGAAAAGACGCTGATGATGGGAAAGTGTGAAGGCAAGAGGAGAAGGGGACAACAGAGTATGAGATGGTTGGACAGTGTCATCGAAGCTACCAACATGAATTTGACCAAACTCTGGGAGGCAGTGGAAGACAGGAGTGCCTGGTGTGCTCTGGTCCATGGGGTCATCAAGAGTGGGACACAACTAAACGATTAAAAAACAACAAATTAACTTTATACACATTGTAAAATTTTAATACTGTACGATAATTTCACAGAAAGAATGAAGTGGAATGCCCACAGTTTTTCCAGTGGTGGCTGCCTCTCCACTGGGTTGTCTGCCGAGTACCTACTCAGTGGCATGAAGCACATCTTATGGTGCATTCATATTTGCCTGTATCACTACAGTGGGGTCTCGACTTAAGAACTTAATCCGTATTGGAAGGTGGTTCTCAAGTCGAAAAGTTCTTAAGTCGAATCTGCATTTCCCATAGGAATGCATTGAAAACCATTTAATCCGTATCTGCTCTTTTCTGTCCATAGAAACTAATGGGAAGCTGCTATTCTGCCTTCTGCCACTAGAGGGGGATATTTTCTTTCTTTTTCCCCCTTAGGTTCAGGGAAGGCAGGGAACACTAAAGGCAGCACTTTAGAACTCTTTTTTTAAAAAACGAAGCCAATTTTAAATAATGTTTTAAAGCATGTTGTGCTGATTTTTTCAGCACAAAGGCACTCAGGCAGGCTTTTTAGGTACTGAGCAAGCCTCCGGAAGCCTGCTCAGAGCCAGCTGATCAGCTGTTAGGTGGGGAGAGGAGCGGGGAAAACCACAAAATGGCTGCCAGGCTCTTTCTGGGTGTCGGTTTTTAGCTCTTTCCTGCTCTTTTTCCTGTGGTTTGGGGGCTACCAAGGCCTGGTAAGTGACTTTATTTAACAGTACAGTATTTATTTTTAAGTTTCTGACCCTTTTCCCCCCTCCAGAAGCCTCTAAGGGGAGGGAGGGGGGGACTTTTTTCCCTGTTCGTAACTGGAGGGAAGTTCGCATGTCGAGTCCTTACTTTCCCTATAGGGCGAATTGTTCGCAAGTCGGGTCGTTCGTAAGTCGAGACCCCACTGTATATCTTTCCTTTCTATCTGAAAATCCAAAAGGCAGATTTGTACAGTGTCCATAAATATGAGAGGCATTAATATATTGTACACAGCACCTATTAGCAGCAAAGTGTAGTGCATGTGAATAAGAAAAACATACTTTTGAAATATTTACACATACTTGTAGCAGCTGTTCAATGTCTTGTTTCTCCAGGTAAGATCGAGTAACAATCCGTCCATCAAAATCTACTTCTGCTTTGAATCTCACTTTGCTCATCCCCATATCTGTAGCTTTAACATCATGAATTGCTCTGAGATAGCATTTGGTAAGATGTAGCAGGAAAAGCAAGAACAAAACAAGGAATTAGGTAATATAAACTAAAAAGCAACTGGCCATTTGACAATAATTTTGACTTTTCCTCTTAAATATTTTCCCTCCAAACTTTAAAATAAGAACTCACTATCCCATTCATACTTATTTTGGTTTATAGTTTTTCATTGGTTTGTTGACCAGACTTTTTTGCAATCACAGAGATCACTCAATACAACACTCTTACACTCTTACCTTACTGCAGGGTCGCTCTCCAAAAGCTCTGTAAGCCTCTGTAGTTGGTCAGCCTGGATAGATCGGCCCAGCAATGCTTCCGTGTTGGTATAGATAAGAAATGCTGACACGATTCCTAATAAAGTTCCCACACCAAGAGATCCCAGACTGTCATAGTGTGGGTTACCTAAAAGGATACATATATGAATTAATCCCCCCCCTGGAATTATGCTCCCCCATGAGTTATTTCATATAACTATCATTTTTCTATTTACGAAAAGTGTCACTTATCCATATAGAAAGAATACCCATTTGCTTTGCAACTAATCCTATGAAAATGGGTTGTGGGACTAGATAAAGTTTCCAGAAACTTTCACAGAAATTAAATTTATCACTAACAAAATTATTAAGAAATAAGCTAAGGACACCTGGTGCAAGAAGTTGTAAAGAAGGACACTGTTTAGTTCAGCATTTTCCCTACACAAGCAGGTTTCAGAGGAAAAGACTATCCAAGCAGCCCATATAATACCAATATAGAGATTTCAGATTCATTCATAGGCTTACAGTTTGCTTGTTTACATTTTATCCCACCCACCTAGTATTAAGGTTACTACTCTGGGTGGCAAACACAGCAAAACATAACAATAACAGAAAACAACAAAAAGTATTGGAAAGGAAAAATTCCAGATCCCAGGACCATGATAAACATGAATCTATGGGAACAATGATTAAAAAAATACACATAGGTTGCAAAGAATTCACAACTGACGGGCCAAGACGAAAATGTAACCTTACTTTGGGGCAAGCTAGAGAAAGGCTTGGGAAGACAGCCAGGTCTTGAGTCAACTCCTGAAACCCAGGAAGGATGGGGCCAGCCGCACCTCTGGTAGAAGGGAATTCCAGAGTGAGGCAGCCACCACAGAGAAGGCTTGATCACAGGTGGATGATTTCCAGACCTCCCCCAGGGTGCCCACTTGGAGCATCCCCATGTAAGTGGTGCAGGTGGGGCAGGTAGATGTTTTGAGGGAGAACCGCTCAGACAGGTAACCAGGTCTTAAACCATGAAGGGCTTTAAATGCCAACATAAGCACCTTGAATTTGGCACAGAAGAATACAGGTAACCAGTGTAAACGAGCCAGGACAGGAGCTATATGATCACACTGAGAAGTTCCTGAGACCAACCTGGCAGCAGTATTCTGCATCAGCTGCAGCTTCTGAACCATGTTCAAGGACAGCCTCACAGAGAGAGCACTGCAATAGTCTATTTTTCAGACTACAGGCACATGGACCACCATTGTGAGGTATTTCCTGTAAAGATAGGGGCAAAGGCATGCAATCCACCTCAGCTGGTAAAAGGCAGACTGGGCCACAGCTGAGATCTGATATTCCATTGAGAAGACCGGGCCCAGCAGCGCACCAAGATTTTGCAGGGGGACCAGGCAGACAGCTACCAAGTTAATCAGGAGTCCCTCCCAACAACAGGACCTCCATCTTATCAGGATTCTATTTCATCCCGTTAGCCCTTATCCAATCCGTAACTGCAGCCAGGCAGCACTCCAATTGAGAAAACATGACACAAAAGAAACACAAGTGATGAAGAGGCAAAAAGGAAGATGGGCAAACTGAAGCCCCAGTCCTCGACGTTGCATGACTGATCATCTGCACCTAATTTGTTTTAGCAACTTGATAATGAAATAAATACTACTCATTCTGTCGACTGTATACACTGATGCTGATTCATGCCCTGCTTATAAATTATAAGAAAATTGTATCAGACCCAACTATGCCATTGGTTAATTTAACACAGATGCTCACCTGTTATAGAGGTCAAACCCATACAAGTAGCAGCTAACGTCACACCCAGAACTGCTGCCATGTCTTCTAGGAGCACAACATTTGTACTTGGATCACGACCCTGCGTAACTGCACATTGAATACAGAGTTAACAATGATGCAGTTTTCATGCCCTGAAGTTGTTACAGAAGAGCCGAAGTATTTTCACAAATGCAAATATTCCTAAATTTTAACCTTACTCTATAACAGGCAACCTACAACTCCCATAAACCTCAGACAGTGTGGCGCCAAATCAGTGATGATGAAGCTTATGCTCCCAGATATCTGAAGCTTGGCAGATTCCATATCATCAATAAACACTTCTAAACATGGGTTAAAATCTGACTGCTTATGCTTGTCAGCATAACACAGTTGGTGTACATTTTGCGGAATTGCTTCATGGACTTAACATAGGCATTTGTTGTTGCATGTCATGTTGCATGACGATATGCAACACCACATGCCTAAGCTAACTTCTGAATTTGTGCCACTTTGCCAACAAGATTTAGACCAACTGCATTACCCTGGTGCAATAATTCAATTGGATTTTGTCCATCGCTATCTTTTTCCATCTGCACCTTCGGATACATTGGAATTAATCAAGGTCGAAGCTCTAAGTAATTCAATAATTATTATTTTCTTCAGCCAAAAAGCTTTTCCTCCAATTAATGAAGGACAGAGAAGGAATTCATTTGCATTCATACAAAACAATTAAACAACAACAACAACAAAAAACTGGATCCAAAGTTGCCCCTCCACAAAAAGAAAGACTTTTTTTCTGCTGGTGGAGAAAGCTGGAATTCAGTGGATGTTCCTTTGTGATGGAAGGAGGTAGGATAACAATATCAGGACAATCAATTACTGCCTCCACTTGTACAGAATGTGTAAATACATCTAGTATTAAAAGCATATCATACATACCGTACTGGTAGAAGGACATGCCTTTCGCCCGAGCACTCTTTCGAATTTCGTTTATAGCTACAAGAAGAGTAGCTGAAACAAAAGTAATATTATTTGAATAAACAACAAACACACTGTTTCAACTCCATTAAAAAACACACATGTGCACAGAGACGTTATTAGATAACCGAAGCATGTTTATTTTGTAATTCTTCTAATAATAAAGTTTAATGTGAATGTAAAGGGATAAAGAAGACCTCTGAAATATTTATAGGTAAAGATTAAGACCTAGGTTTACTATCTTCTTAGTCTTCAATACTTTTTTGGGAGTTTTATAGAAATACTCTAAACAGGTAGGTTACCTACCTGCGACCATTGTTCTTCTAGTGGACCTCTGTGAATTCATACAAAAAAAAATTTCTGCGCCTGTGCAGAATGATTCAGAAATTTCTAGAGCTTTAGAAAAAAACTAGCAATTAGAATATCCCCCCCAACGGATCAAGCTCCTCCTCCTCAACCTTCCCCTCAGTTCCTACAAAGTCCGTCGTCAGATAAGTTAAAGTTAAAGATAGACAATGTGACGGACAGAGGGGAGGAAGGGAGGGATGTGTGAATTCACAGAGGTCCACTAGAAGAACCATGGTTACAGGTACGTAACCTTTCTTTCTTCGTAGTAGCCTCTGTGAATGCACACAAATGGGTGACTGACAAGCTCACTTACTGGATGGTGGGACATCACCGTAGCAGAGATGTCAGAATTGCCTTGCTGAATGCGGCATCATTCTTAGTCCTGACGTCAAGTCGGTAATGTTTCGTGAACATCAATGGATTGGACCAGGTTGTGACCCTGCAAATGGCCTAATTCGCTTGCCCCCTTAGCTGATGTGATAGCGACAAGAAATATTGTTTTCAGAGATAACAGCTTTTCATTGCAGGTAGCCATTGGCTCAAAGGGAGGTTTAAGTGAGTGAGTCCAGGACTAGTTGGAGTGACCATTGAGGGATGATCTGTTGCACTGGGGGTCGGATATTTTTAAGACCCTTCAGAAATTTCTTTAGAGTCGAATGGGAGAAAAGCCGGGCAGATCGGGAACGAGGTGGTTGGTGTGCCACTATGGCTGAAATGTATACTTTGATGGTGGAGTGAGATAAACTGGTGTCGAATAAATGGAGAACGAAGGTAAGTATCGTCTTGAGTGAAACTGGGATGGGCGTTAGGTTCTTGGATTCAAGAATGATTGAATTTCAAGAATGATTTCCATTTATTCCTTTAGAGTCTCTCTGTCAAGGGTTTCCTGGCCCTCTCCAGAATCCTGTGGAATTCGGGGTTATCCTCCAGGCTGTCAGTTTCAGTGAAGACACATCCAGGTGGAGAATGGAGCCCTCATTCCGCGACAGGAGGTTCGGTATTGGTGGTAAGTAGAGTATGTCTATCGCTATCATTTTGAGGCGGGTGAACCATGGTTGGCGGGGCCACCATGGTGCGATCATGATAGCATCCACATGGTATTGAATGATCCTGATAATTGACTTCTGGATCAATGGTATTGGTGGAAAGACGTAAAGGAGTTCTCCAGTCCAGTTCTTCATGAATGCACCTCCCAGAGATGCAGCATCGATGTCCACTCTCGAGCAGTATCTGAGGCATTTGGCATTGTAGCAAGACGCGAAGAGGTCCAGCGTTAGGTGGCCCAACTTGTGGCAGAGTTCTCGAAAAATGGACTCATTTAGCATCCATTCATGTGTATGTGTGGGTAAACTGCTCAGAAGTTTTCCTCTGTTGAAATGTGGGAAGCTTGTGGGAAGATACGGTGGAGGCAGAACCACTCCCATAGATCCATAGTGAGGTGCAAGAGGGGCATAGAATGCATGCTCCCCTGCTTGTTTATGTAGTGCATAGCTGTGGTGTTGTCTGTCACTAGTTGGACAGTTCTTCCTTTGATACGGGTAGAAAAGCTCGAAGTGCTTTTATCACAGCCAGTATTTCCAGTTGGCTGATATGTAATGTCCTTTCCATTTTTGTCCACAGTCCATGTATCCTGAGTTCCTGACAATGAGTCCCCCAACCAGAGGGGCTTGCATCTGTGGTCACCTGTATGGAGAGGTTTATCGGTTTGAACAGTCATCCTACAATCAGGTTCTGGATGGACATCCACCAGGTAAGTTGGTTTGACAGTTGTGGTGTCACCAGTAGGCATTTTGACTGATTGTGTACTGCAGGGTAGAATAGGGATAGAAACCATGCCTGGAGGGACCGCATCCTGAGTCTTGCGTGGATGAGAACTGCAGTTGTGGTGGCCATGAGATCTAACAGATGCTGCGCCTTGTGTGCCGATACCGTGGTGAATGGTCGGAACATTCCCTCCTCCTGTAAGGTTGATGAAAAGGAGGTGTCTCTAATAAAGTTTATGGATAGAATTTTAAAGAATTCAATAAGGCAGCCCTTTGCAATGATTGATAAGACCCATTGTTGCGATCTCCTCTGAAGCCCCTATCCCCTTCCAGACCTCCCCCAGGGTGCCCACTTCGCAACCCCGCCTTGATCCGTGGGGGGGGTTATTTTAATTGCTAGTTTTTTTCTAAAGCTCTATACATTTCCAAATTTTCCTGTGCAGGCACAGAAGAAACCCATTTTGTGTGCATTCACAGAGGCAACTACAAAGAACAAATGGTTACCTATCAAAGCCCCAATTCAAACGCATACTAATGGACTATACCCATTACTTGAGTTTCTA